GGGCCCCTGGCCTGTGAGAAGAACGGCATGGCCTACCTGTACGGCATCATCAGTTGGGGCGATGGCTGCGGGCGGCTCAACAAGCCTGGTGTCTACACCCGAGTGGCCAACTATGTGGACTGGCTCAATGACCGGATGCGGACTCCCAAGCGGCCCACGGCTCCCTCCTGAGACCCCGGAGGGGCATCCTGTCTGCTCCCCGTCTGCTCCCCATCCTGTCTCCTGCCTCGCTGACAATAAAGCTGTTGCAAAGAACCCGGCCCGTGCTTCCAGGCCCTGCCTCCAGCCTGGCCCTTCCTCCAGGCCACAAACTGGGCCCACATCTGTGCCCAACTGGCCGTGGGTGGGGACCTGGAGCCAGCGCAGCTCCTCAGTGGAGGTGGGAACCTGCCACCTCCGCAGGGAGGGCCTGGCCCCATGGCCCAGGGAGTCCCGCAGGGAGTTGAGTCCAGGCCCTCCCTGGGGCCCAAGCAGTGTCCAGCCCACACGCTTCCTAGGTCTGCCCCCAGGCAGGTGTGTGGCCAGGGTCCAGGCACCTGGCTTGTCCCAGGTCAGGAAGTAGAAGCCAAGCCCGGGACCTCAGGCCCCAGACAGTGGCGTGAGCCAAGTGGTGTGCAAAGGGTCACAACCTGATAAAGACAGGCCGTGTGGGACCTGCTGGCTGTCGTTTGACCTTCAAGACGGCAGCCCGTGACCAGCAGCTCTCCATGCATTGTGCCTTCCAGAGGGAGGGGGCTGGAGACTGCCTCTGGCAGGGGTCAGGGAAGGGGCCACAAGCGCTTAGTGGGTCACTGCTGGTGCTGGACTCTCGGGGCCATCCCCCTGCCTTGGCTCTTTGGAAGGGACAGGAGGAGGTAGGGCCGGAGACAAAAGGGGGCAGGGTGTGTGTAGGGCTAAGGGGAGACCTCTGGGACACTGCAGGTTCCTCTCTGCTCTGCGGCCTGGAATGTTCTCTCTTGTGCCGCCCTTCCTCCCCTTCACGCTCTGGCCCTGGGTCCTCTCTCAGTTGCGCTGCGTGGTCAGGCATGCACGTGGGCACAGCAGGACGCAGGCTTTGCTGGACACCCCAGCCCTCCGTCACTCCTGTGCAGGATGCGTGCAGAAACCCGGCTCGTGCAGCCTAAGCACGTAGCAGGAAGTCAGCGGCCTGCTGACATCGACTTGCCAGTTCTATTGGCTCCCTTTTGTCAGGACAGCAAAAGCATTCCCAGAATTCCCTTTCCCCGCAGAGTGGCACCTAGCTCTCATCTGCCCCAAAGGGCTGCACAGCCACGCCTGGCTGCAGAGGAGGCTGGAGAGTAGGGAGCAGGATTGCTGCAGCCGGCTTAGCTCAGTCTGGGCTGCAGGCTGGGCATTCACAGCCGGGCAGAGCCAGGTTCTGAGCAAAGGGGAAAGAGAGACAGGCACCAGAAGCCCCCCAGCAGCCAGAGCCCAGGCGCTTCCCTCACTGCCCCGACAGCTGTGTGTGGGCCTAGAGCCCTCAAGCTCATCGAAGCCCCCGCTGCTACTGGAGACCCCTGCCTCTGCCGATATGTAGGTTGCAGCCCCAGGCTGCCACTGGGGCAGACGCTGGTGCCAGTGCCCTGAGTCACGGAGAGCAGGGTAGCCCCTTTTCACGAGCGTGGGGCCTCCAGCTGCCACAGGGCTCACTGACCTTGTATGGCTCCAGCCCCATCATGAGCCACATCTGAGCTGAGCTCTCCCCAGTACCTCTCCCCTGTGAGTGCTGGGTCTTTTCAAGCAATTTCTCTGTGTCTTTGAGATAAACATGAATCTTCTCAGATTCCTGAATGCAATGCCTGCATTTATAGGTTTTTCTGGTGTTGAGCCAGCCTTGCATTCCTGCAGTGAAGGGGACTGAGCAGGAATGTGAGCCAGGGGTCCTCCGTTGCCCCTCCAAGGCTGCCTGCCTTCTCACCTTGAGCTTGGCCTCTGGGCTGCGTCAGTGGGTTCTGTGCCTCTCAGTTTCTTGCTGTGCCTTTGGGGAGCCCCAGCAGTGGGCTGGGGGAAAGGAGAGAGTGAGACTGAGGTACATAGTTTCCTGGCTCCCTTTTCTTGGGTGGCCTCGGTGTTGTGGGCGAAACTGTGTTCTCCTGCAGTTCCATGTTGAAGCCCTACCCCCACACCTCAGAACATGACTGTGTTTGGAGACAGAGTCTTTATGAAGGTGATCACAAGAAGGAGGTGATTAGGGTGGGGACCGATCTGAACAATGGTGACTGGGACACAGACACACACGGAGGGAAGGTGATGCAAGGAGATGCGAGGGGAGGCCAGAGGCCAGAGGCTGGGAACAGTCGTCCCTCACAGCCTGCAACGGCCAGCCCTGCCCACACCTGGCCTCCAGAAGTGTGGGTTGGCCAAGTTCTGTTGCTGAAGCTACCCAACCTGTGGCACTTCTTTATGGTGTCCCCAGCCAGCAGATGTACCCAGGTTGGCTGCATCCCATGGCCCAAGACATACTGCCTTCCTCCTAGTGAGGTTCCCGTGGCCACTCCGCCCTCCCCTGCCCAGCTCTTGCCTACTGATCCCCCGTCCTGATCAGACCTTTGTAAACAAGCCCTCCTGGACTCGTCCTGCCACCAGTGCCACCTTTCGGACCCTGGCCAATATGTGCTGTATTTTTTCTTAACTTTTTTTGATTGACTTGATTTTGTTTAGGACTTTGCATTTATGTTTATGAGATTGCTCTACAATTATCCTCCTATGTTCTTTGAATGACTGTTATCAAAGCTATCTTAGCCTTCTAAGATAAGTTAAAGAGCATCCCTTGTTTTGTCAGAATTCACTGGAAGATTCTGTGTAAGATTGGAATGATCTACCCTTTGGAAGTTTGATGGAATTCACTGATAAAATGATCTATCCTATTGATTCAATGTCTTTAATTATTCTAGTTTGCAATTTTATTTCTTCTTGAGCCAGTTATAGGAAGTCATGCTTTGAGTAATTAATCTGCCTAATTTTTAATATTTAGCCCCATGAAGTTGTTCATGGTGTTTATCCTCTTACCATTCCCTCTCAGAGATATCAGTAGTTACTGTCTGTCACACTGCTTGCATTGCTACTGTTGAGGAATCTGCTTTAAATCTAATTGTTCTTTTGTAAATAATTTTTTCTTGGGTGGTTTTTATGATGTTTTTACTTTGGCATGTGGCAGTCACATGCAGATGTGGGTTTCTTTCCTTATTTTATTCTGTCTGATGCAGCTTGCACTTCACAGTCTTGCTCGGGCTGGGTGTTGCTGGTGCCCTCCCCATGGTGACTCAGGGGTCCAGGCTCCTTCTGTCTACTGGTTCCAATGTTCCTTGGGGCTGTAACAGCTGGGGAAACTGAGGCACAGAGAGGGGTAGATGCCAACCCAGGGTCACAGAGTTCTTAGCCAGTCTGGGAGTAGGAGCCAGGCCACCTCCTCCTCCTGGCAGGAAATTTTCCCCACTTTGCAACAGCCCTGGCAGCTGCAGAGCCATCTTTTGGGACCACGGGGAGGGGCGTGGGGGAGGAGCTGTCTGCTCTTGTGGCAGTCCGCATTTCCTGGGCCCAAGTGGCAGCAGGTGCAGTTGTCAGGCATGCAGGGCCCTGGGTCAGGGCCAGCACTCGGGAATGCAGCAGGGCTCTGCCCTCCCTGCAGGGAGGAGCAAGTGCCAGGCGCCTCAGGCAGAGGATGTATCCGTGGCTACAACCCCCAACACACCCGCCTCCATGCGGCTGTCCTGGGCCAGCCCCTCGGGGCTTGGAGGTGCCAGAGCATGAATGGGGCTCTGTGGCCCAGCAACTGTTCTGCAGAAGGCGGCCGGTGGCTGCACAGGTGACAGCAGTGTGTGTGTGGGGGGGTGATGCACAGAGCTGCTTCCTGGGGCTGGTGTCCCCTTCCTTGCCTCAAGTCCCAGCAAGATGTCACTGTAGCATCAAAATCAACCCTCACAGCCCTCTAAGGCCTCTCAAATCCCCAGGGTAGTGGGGAGGGACGCCTGGGGTCAGCAGTGTGGCTCAGTCCTGGCCACCAGGCCCCATGCTGCTCTGGGCTTCCCTGTCCTCCTCTGTATGAGGCACAGAGAACCCAGCCTGGAGGTCTACAGGGGAGGAAATGAAGACTCACGTGGGCTCCCATAACCCTCACCTCACCATAACCCTCTCTTCCCTGGTGGGCCTGGCACGGCTCGGCCAGGGTGCTCATTTTGCTGGGTTCATCCCTAGCCCTGTTCCCGCATCTGCGGGGCTGCTGGGGAAGTGCTGGCTGTTGGAGGCCTGTTACAGACGAGGGGCTGCCAGCCAAGGCATGGGCCTGCCAGCCCCCAAAGCATGTGGTCTCCAGGAGAACCTGGGGTTGGCATCTCCAGCCCAGGCCAGACCCTGCGGGCAGCAAGACTGGAGCCACAGGGTCAAACTCAAGAGAGCTCAGGGAAGGGGCTGCCAGGCGGGTCCTTTATGAAGCAGCACTGCCCCTCTGTGCCTATCTGTGCCAGGCTGGGGGCGGGAAGACCTGGGGCACCAAGTGCACCATGAGGGAGCCACCTGCAGTGGTCCACGCTGCCAAGATCTTCACACGTGAGAACACAAGTGGACAAATGGACAGGTAACCAGCGTTGACCCTGCAGACCCGAGCCCCACCAACTCTGGGTGTGGAGGAGACCTGAGGACTCAGGGCTGTCTGGGGCCAGGACTGCTTGTGGTCAGCCTGTTGGCAGAGTGCTTGTGACACCTTGGGCTGGTGGGAGGGGCAGGGGCCCAAGGGTGAAGCCAGGTTGGTTAAAGACAAACTTTAAAGTTGGGAACATGTGCATAGGGCCCCTCCAGGCTGCATCCTTTGCTTTGTTTTTGGGAGGGACTCATCCCTGTACCACCCCCATGGGGAGGTCCCAGTGCCCTGCCCTGGCCGGGCTTGCTCCAGGAGATGGGCAGCCTCAGGTGGCCACGGTGGGGCATTGAGACAGCGTCACTGAGGAGGGGAGCGGGCCACGTGGCGCCCCACCCCTAGGAGAGGCCGGGAGACCCCGGCGCCCCGCCCGGTCTGGCGTCCCTGGTGTCGCGCCCCGCCCCGGCCCGCCCTCCTGGCCGGCCCAGGCCTCCGGAGCTATTTTGAAAGTGACCCTGGGCTCGGGCGCGGGGCGGCGGCGAGGGCGCGGCGGGCGGGAACCATGACCGAAGATGACCGAGGCGGCGCTGGTGGAGGGCCAGGTCAAGCTGCGGGACGGCAAGAAGGTCGGGGCGCGGCGTGGGCGCGGGGCGGGCAGCGGGCACGGGCGGCGGCTCACGGCTGTCTCTGTCCCCGCAGTGGAAGAGTAGGTGGCTGGTGCTGCGCAAGCCGTCACCGGTGGCAGGTGAGCGGGGGCGGGGGCGGGGGCGCAGCGGCGGCGGCCGGCCGGGCGGACCCTGCGCGACCGGGCCGGGCGGGGCGAGCGCCCCGGCGCCCGAAATAGCCGAAACCGGAGAGCCAGGACGGGGAGCCGAGCGCTGAGCGGCACAGCCTGGCCCGCAGAGTCCCTCCTGGAGCCGGAGCAACCCAGAGCCCCCATGGGGTGCCAGGGAAGCCCCAAAAAGCTGCACTCCGGGTGCCCGGCCCAGTGGGCGGGTCCTGGTGCCCGGCCCTCCCCCACCCCAGGCGCTGCAGTCCTCTGGTTGCCGGCGGACCCCAGGCAGCAGGAGCAGAGGGTGGCTCTGGGGAGGAGAGAGGGGACATTACCATTGTCTGGGGGACTAGCCCCTTCCCCAGGCGGCCAGCATGGGAGAAGGCCAGCGAGCAGCCTGGGCTGCAGCTTAGGGCGCAGGGGGAGGGCAGCGCCTGCAGCCTGCAGCTGCCTCAGGGGACAGGTGCCTCGGAGCTAGCCAGGCCCAGTGTGGGATGTGGGTGTCTTGAGTCCTGCTGCCTGGGGCTGCCAGGGTGTCTGCCAGCTCCCAGAAGGAGGTGGTGGGGACAGGGGGCTCCCTCCCCTTTACTCCTGCTGTGGGCTTGGGCTGCCATGCCAGGCGGCCGAGGACAAAGTCACTTCCTGCCTGGGCCCCACTGTCCCTCGTGCCCAGACCCTGGGGCTGGGTGCTGTCCAGAACCAAATGGGGGTCCCAGTAGAGAAAAGTGGGGCTGGAGCCGAGGCACAGGCAGGCTGAGGGAGGGCGGGGGAGAGGTGTGAATCAGCTGGACTGGGGGCAGGTGGGCCACTGCACAGTGGGGTGCATAGGGGACAGCGGTGGGGCTTGTGCAGGCCTCCAGAGAGGACAGGGGCAGCGCCCCAGCAAGGAGCGTCCTGGGGTGCGGACCAGAGAGGCGGAGGGGCCAGAGAGGGAGGGTCCTTCTGCTCTGTGGGGTGTGTGGAGGGTCCCCCACACCAGGGAACCTGTGAGTCTGAATGAACCTGGTGGCCACCAAGCATCTCCGCGTGGACCACGTGCGCCAGGGCAGCTGGGAAGCAGGCGCTCACGTGCGGGCCAGAACTGGGGCCACAGGGGTCTGTGGAGACGGAGGGGGCTCCGGGGCTGGGTTGGCTCGGGGTAGGAGGTGCCTCTGCATCCATTCTGAGCCCTGTAGCCACTGTCTTATTGTCCTGGGACCCCATGTGTGCTGGTCACTTCAGCAGCCCCTGGCTGAATATCATGCCCTGTGGCGTTGCCCAGGGGCCAGAAACGTGAGCAGGTTGGGTGGGAGCAGCATCCCAAAGCCCCCCTCCCCACGCTGTCCCTGCCAGAGGCCCTGACTCCTCTCCCTTCCCCTCCAGACCCTCCTGAGCCAACCTGGATGGCGGCCCCCCAGCACCACTCTGGGGAGCTCTGCCTTCACCCCAGCCCCTCTCGCCTGGTGCCTCAGCCCCCTTCCTGTGGACGGCCCCGGTGCGGGGTGCAGCCCTGCCCTCGAGTGGGCGCCTGGCTCTCTGGCCCTGGTGAGAGGGAGGGAGGGAGGCCCACCCTGCTTTCTTGCCCTTACTTGTTACCACCGATTTCCTTCTGGAAGGGCCCACAGAGGCGGGAGGGATGGGGAGCATGAGCACTTACTCCTCTCACAGTGGAGTTTAGTTAGCGAACAGAGGAAAATGTCTTTATCCAAGGGCACGTTCCGAAGCCGTGGGCGTCCCTGCCGGGCGGGACGTGCTCACTGAGGGAAGTGGAGAGGCTGGGCAGTAGGAAGGGACAGAGCCGCCCGGCCGCAGTGCCCGGCACAGCCAGTCCAGGCAGGGGCCTCCGTCTCGGTGTGGGGCTGTAGGGTGCTCTGCCGGGATCGCGTTCCTCGGGGTCACGACCTCTGTCCTGACTGGAGAGTGCGTGTCTGAGTCCCCTCACCAGAGGAGGACAGTCTGGGCCTAGTCCTGGCTGGGGCTCACTGCTGGTGACCGGGCAAGCCCACCCTGACCTCAGCCCCTCTCTCCCTCTCCCATGCCGAGGCTCGCGATGGTGAGAGGGGACCACTCTCACGCTCTGAGGCGGCCGTGGCCACCAGCCAGGCACCAGGGGGGCTTGGGGAGCAGCCAGGGCACAAGAGTGGCTGGATGGACCGCTGGAGTGCTGGAGCTGGCAGGGCCCTTGGGGTCACTGTAGGCAGGAGGCTGGGGCCCAGAAGCCCAAGGGGTCTGGCCCAAAGAACGGGACTATTGGGTAGAGCCCCGGTTTCCTGCCTGCCCCTCCTGGCCAGCTGGAAGGGCAGTGCCTGCTCTCAGGCCGAGGGGACATCAGCTTAGTCTGCCCCATCCCTGCTCTCGGATCCTCTGCTGAGTTCCTGGTGGACAGGGATTCCCCGGCTCTGCCTCACCATCACACACGGCCCAGTGGGGTTGAGCCCTGCCTGTTGGGGGTCCCACGGCAATGGCACAGGGCTTGCACCCACACGCAAGATCGGGGAGCCTCGTGGCTCGTGCCTGTGCGCGCCAGAGCTGCCCGTGTGGCCCGTGCTGTGTTCGGGCGCGGCCCGTGCTGTGCTCGGGCGCGACCCGTGCAGTCAGCAGCCCTACTACCACGGGGTGGATTTCTGGAGGATGTGGGTCTCAGGGGTAGTGACCAGGCAGGTTCCTATGTTGGCATCTCCTGGCTTTGGGTTATTTGGGCCTCTCTTTCCTTCCCTGGGAACCAAAGCTGCGGGCTTTGGGCGAGGTGCCAGGGGTGGCCAGTTCTCCCGTCCCCGTGGAAATGTCACGGAATAGGGCTGAGCTTCCCCTAGCCTGTTCCAGGACAGCACATTGAGCACCAGGCTTCTACTCTCAGCTCCCCTCACGCAGCTGCGCCTGAGATTGTCGCTTGTCCTGGAGCTTCCTCATCTTCAGCTGGACTCTCGGTCCGGTCTCTGCCTGGCCCACTCGCAGGGCCCTCAGGAGGGTGGACGGAGCGTTGGGTGAGAGGGCCCAACGTCTGGAGCCTTGCCTTGCCTTGCCTTCCCTTCCGTGTCAGTGCGTGGGCAGCGGCCCTGTACCCATTCCCCGGTGGGGGCAGTTGGTGCGCTGTGAATGTGTCTCCTTCCAGCTGCTCGGCGGCCCCCAGGCCACTGACCCTCAGCAGGGTCCCTCAGGCTCCTCCTTGCCGCTCTGCTGAGAGCACCGCCTCAAGGTCACCGCGGTCTCCAGGGACCAAGTCCCATGGCCGCTCCCCTGGCCTCCCTCTGTGCCCAGCAGTGTGGACTCTCCCTGCCTCCGGCCTCCAGCTTCCCTGGGCCTCCTCCCCATCGGCCATCCTTCTGCCTCATCCCCTCCTCCTCCTCCCTGCGGGAGGCCTGAAGCTGCTCTCCCGCCTGCCTGGCTCTGAGGCTGCCGTGTGCTCGTGACTCCGCAGTTATTTTTACATCTCCAGACGCCTGTGTCCAGCTGCCTGTGTGTGTCGCTGCGAGCCGTCTGGGGGGCTTCTCAGCCTCGTGTGTCCAGGAGATCCTCCCGTCCTGGCCCCCACTCAGAGGTCCCTCCCCAGCCATCCTACCCAAACTTGGGGAGTCCTCCTTGATTGCCAGCTTCCTACAGCCACACCCACTACCTCGCAGTCCCCTGGTCTCCAGCCGGAGACCACAGCCTTGGCTCTTCCTTGGCCCCAGCCGGCTGCGGCCGCAGTGTGTCCTTCTGGGCAGCTGCAGCACCTCCAAGGCTCCCACTGCTGCCCAGGTGGCCAAGGTCGGCTCTGAACAGCCAGGCTGGTCCTCTCTGCTCAGAACCCTCCGGGTTCCTTGGTGCTGGGAGCAGAGCTCTCTGCGTTGATCACCAGGTCTGCCAGATGCAGCCTGCCTCCACTTTGGGCCACTCTCCCCCTCCTCCTTGGGCTGGCCTGGCCCTCTGGGTCCCTGGAGAGGCCGCGCTGCCCTGCCTCTGGGCATTTGCACTGGCTGTTCCCTGTGGGGCTGCTGTGTGGGGTCCATTCCCTCCTGGGAGAGTCAGTCCCCACCCAGCTTTCCTTGTCTGTGGACTCATCTGTGCATCTGACGTCTGCTCCTAGAGCCAGCTCCGCGGGAGCCTGGCTTTGTCCCCGGGTTCTGGGCTGCTCACAGGGTCAACACACAGTAGGCATTTGCAGAACAAGCTGCACTCCGTGCTGCCGGATGCCATGTCAGGCTGGGACAGAGCCGGAGGGGTGGGAGGGCTCTGAGGGGCCCAGTGGGCATCTTACAGCACCCTTGAAGGGCTGGTGGGATTTGCCCTGACGCCAGTTGCCGCCTGTCTGTTGGCGTTTGCCTTTCGCTGTCTCAGGGCACATCCATCAGCCCCACCTGCCGCTGGCTGCAGGGCAAGAGTTAGTGGAGGGCAGGGTGGGATGAGCCTTGGGGCCCGGCACTTTCTGCCTTTGAGGAGCCCCCAGATCTCACAATGACTCCAAATCCTCACCCTGGAGATGGGGTCTCTCGGCCAGGCTGCAGCCCAGCGGCACCCCATGTGTGGGAGTGGCACAGCGCGCCCACAGTGCCACCTTGGTCACTGGGCAGGAGACCCTCCAAATGACCAGGCCTCCTGGGAGGGTGCGGCAGGGAGTGCTCTGGGCCTGGATCTCGGGGCGCCAGCTGGTGGGTGCGGCTCCTGCTTCCCTCTGTCCCCCGTCCCCCAGGCCAGGCGGGCTGTGTCTTGGGAGGACTGCAACCCCGCTGATCCCAGTGGTGCGGTGTGGCTCAGGCCCCTGCCTGGAGGTTCCGTCTCTGGGGCCCCTTCCCCAGCTCTGCGCTTCGGCACTGACTGCGGAGTGGGCTTTTAAAATAGGGTGTCGAGGAGAGGGGCTGGAGCAGCTGCAAGGGGTGGACGGGGGAGCCCTGCCAGGTGGGAGGTGGAGCCAGCACCCCGGGCTGGGGCTTGGAACAGTGGAAATTTACCCTCTCAGTTCTGGAGGTCAGAGATCTGAAATCAAGGGGTCAACAGGAGGTTGAAATCAAGAGCTCCACACCCCCCCAGGGGCTCTCGGGGCTAGACTGCGACCTAGAAACCGCCCCAGGAAGGCCAGAGACTGCGGGGGTGGGGCTGGACTGAAGGGTATGGTGGGGGCCCTGTCTGGAAATCTGGAGGGCGTCTTGGTGGGGGCAGGGCCCAGCAGGCCGGCGTGTGGCCCTGGGGAGCGTGGCCGGTGTGTCCGGGTTGAGTGGGAGGGCCTTCTGTGAGTTAGGAGGAGACACTGTGGGCAGAGACGGTGCCCAGGGCAGAACCGAGGGCCGCACGAGCAGCTTCAGGGCGTGGCTGGGCCTGGCTGGCGGCAGAGGCAGGAGGTGGGCGCTTGCCGCGTGGCTGAGGCACCACAGCCGTGGAGCCAGGGCCCTGCCCGGGTTCTGGGGTGACCAGCCCACCCGAGAGCACGGGAAGCCGAGGCCTGGGAGGCGAAGGGGGCAGGTGGTTGGCTGGCAAGTGTGTGCCCCTCGCAGAGCACCGTGGGCGAGTGCTGCGTTGCCCGGTCCCCTCTGTGCACACCCGCCCAGACCCGGGGGCCAGCCCAGCAGCGCTGCCACCTGGTGACGTGGGCAGACTTGTAACTGCACCTGGCGACTCCATACACCTTCCTGCACATGATTTTCCTCGCATTACCACAGGTGGAGGGCCTGCTGTCCTCATGTGACAGATGAGGAAACTGAGGCCAAGAGCTCCAGGACCCTGTCCCAGCCCAGGCAGCTGGCAGGGCAGGCAGAGGTTCCTGTTGGGCCTCGCCCCTGGGAGCCCCTCGGTGTGACTGGGTGTGGCATGGTGTGTGGGGCAGGCCTGTCCTCGTGGTCTCCACGTGGCTGTGGCCCAGAGGTGGGGCCCGGCCTGCCCCCACAGCCATGCAAGCACAGCTCGCTGCAGAGGGCTGGCCAGGCTGTGGTGGCAGAGCTCGGGTGGCGAGAGCTGTCCTCACGCAAGGCTCCCGCCGTGGCTGCCTGTCCCTGTCTTCCAGTGCTCATGCCAGCCCCTTACGAGTTTGTTCCTCAGGGCCTCTGGTGGCATTCTGGGGAGACCTTGTCACTGTGGCGAATTCCGTTTATGCCGACTTGTCTGGCGCATTTCCGTGGGGCCGGCCTCGCCTCCCGCCCCGAGTGTCCTCCCCCGCTGCTCCCGGGAGAGACCGCGCTGGGACCCGCAGCCGGCAGGCGGGCTTCTGTGGCCTCTGGCCTTTTCCCTTCTCGCATGGGGAGTGACTGAGCTGTTTTCTAGTCATAAGCATTTCATACCCTACAGACTTCTCAAACGGGAGGTGAAAGCCCCAGCACCTCGCCCGCGGCCCCGTGTGCGGAAATAACGTTCCGTCGCGTGTGGCCGCCCCGGCTCTCGCGCCACCTCGGCTGCCTCCGCCACCAGGGCAGCGGCCTCGAGGGTGCAACAGAGACGTGTGGCCCCAGAACTGTCTGTCCTCCAGCTCCTCGTGGAAGAAGGTGCCTCGATGGCTGTGCAGGACCCTCCAGCTCCCATGGGTGTGACTCCGTGGCCCTGTGTGTCGTAGGGACCGGGAAGGGAAGCAAAACGCTGGGGCTGTTCTGGGTGCCACCAGGAAAATTAGTGTTTGAGTCAAGTTCATGTGGGATTTTGGTTCTCGCTTGGGTTTGCTGGGCCTGTTTCAAGAGCAGACACCTGCTTTGCAGAGGCTCAGGGAGACGCGTCCTGCATCCGCTCCCGGGCATTTTCCTCCACTCCCTTCGTGGGCACGGGGACTTGATTTCTGCAGCTTTGTGCAGGGTTGGCTCACAAGTAAGTGTGTTTAGGTGTTTGCAAACCTACACTCTCAGCAAAGGCTGGTGTCCTGGGGCCCCTGGTGGGCCGGCAGGGGCCAGGGGAGACCAGTTTTTCAAGCCTGGGCTGACCCAGGGGGCCGGCACACTCCTTGAGTCATCCCGTCTGTTCGGTCTGTTCTCTGGGCCAAGCTGTCTTGCCATGCACAGGTGCGTGTCTGAGTGGCCAGGTGTGTGCCTGGGCCATGCTGGGGGCCATCCGTGCAGTGTCTGAGCTGCACTCCAGGCTGAGTGGATTGCACGGGGCTCATTGCTAGCTTTGCCATGGTGTAGTGACAGTGACATTGGAAAATGGGAACTTGGGCGCGGAGACCTGAGTTGCCCTGGAGGATCTGGGAGGTGAGACCCAGGCACATCCCCTGCAGCCAAGGAAGGGACCAGGGCCTGCCACACTGGACAGTGGCTTAGGGGAAGGGGGGCTGGGAAGCCCAGCGACTCCTTCCTCCCCCCAGCTGGAGCTCAGGCCACACTCTGCAAACAAGGAGCCATCAGATGACATGGGTCCGGCGTGGCAGGGAGTGGGCACAGGCAAGGCCAGTGTAGGACTGAGGTGCGAGGCCATAGCCTCTGGGTGGGTTCCATGCCTGGGCCCCCGAGACACTGCTTACAGCACCTGCAGCACTTAATGTGGCCAGGTGGGTCTGCTGAGGGGTCCAGGAGCCAGCCACAGGGGCCAGAGCCAGGCGGGCGGGGTACAGCCGTGAAGTGTCCATGCCTGCTGCACGCTCCCGGCCTGTGGTCTTGCAGGGAGGGGGTCATGCCGCTTGGCACACGAGGAAACAGACATAGCGTGGTTGGGTGGCTTGCTCAGGGTCGTGCCTCCAACCGGGGTCTCTGGCTGTGTCGTAGCCTCCTGGGGATGCTGAGGCCGCGTGCTGGCGGGCGGGCTGGGCTGGCGTCCTGACGCGCCTCCACCTGTGCAGACTGCCTGCTCATGCTGGTCTACAAGGACAAGTCAGAGCGCGCCAAGGGCCTCCGGGAGCGCAGCAGCCTGACCCTGGAGGACATCTGTGGCCTGGAGCCCGGCCTGCCGTACGAGGGCCTGGCCCACACGCTAGCCATCGTCTGCCTGTCCCAGGCCATTATGCTGGGCTTCGACAGCCGTGAGGCCATGTGCGCCTGGGATGCCCGGATCCGCTACGCACTCGGTGAGGGTGAGTGACCCAGGGCAGGGGTCCCAGGTGACGGCCTCCCTCCTTAGGGTCCTGAGGTCCTCACCAATGTGGTGGGGCATTAGTGGGTCTTCAAACATTTACTGAGCCAGGAACTCAGGTTGGAGGAGCCCAGCTCCTGCCTGGGGGTGCTCGGGCGAAGATTGGAACCAGAGAGACTTTGTGGCCATGGGGCCTTAGGACCTCCCTAACCACCCCGTTACCCGTTAGATAGAACTATTAGCCAGATCTGGTGGCCTTCTTAGGGCAGCGCCCTCCCAAGCCCTGTCTTTTGCTTCCCACACTGGATGCTGAGCCAGGGCCAGCAGCTCCCCCCCCCCCCGCCACCGCCCGGAAAGGCCAGGAGGGCAGGGAAGAGCATGCGCTTCTGGGGAGACATTGAGCACAGCCCCGAAGGGCGGCCCGGTGGGCGGGCAGGTCCGTCCCCGCCCTTTGAGGGGGCAGGCTGCCCACCGGGGCTGTGTGAGCAGAGCTGGCTGCCCTAGGCAGGCCTGGCGGCTGGGGCTAGGGTCCTGAGCATTCAGCAGCAGAAACAGCATGATGCAGTATTTTCTAAAAAATCAAAATTGATGCAAAAAACCCATGATGTGCAAAATATCAAAATTTTAAATAAAGTCAAGCTTTGGCCTTGCACTTTGCGTTCCTCTCACCTGATCAGAGTCTCAGACTCTTTGTATTACTTTTTATTTTTTAAAATATTGCATTAAAATATCCCTGCCCTCGATTGCTGCGGGTCGGGGAGCAGCCCTTCCTTCTCCAACCCATGGAGATAGTGGCCGGGCTTGGTCAGGGCAGGTGCGGATGGCTCAGCCAGAGGGCACAGGGGCAGGCAACCGCGCCTCTCCAGGAAGTTCTGCAGCCGGGGTTCCCTCCAGCCCAGCCTGGCTCAGTGGCACAGACCCCTTTTCTTTGACTGGCTGGGGCAGGCATCATTGCACAGAGGTGGCCAGGCGCTAGAAATCACAGCGTGGTCTGACCACTCCCTGCAGGGATTGCCCCAGGCCACCGCTGGGAGCAGGGCGCGGGGAGGATTGGGACCAGGGGCTGGAGGTCAGCAGGGTGGGGTCTGCCTCTGCCCCCCGGCCAGGCTCCCTGGGTGTGCACCTCCTGAGGTGGAGGATGAACTGGGAGAGAGAAGGCAGAGTATGGACGGTGCTCACGACCATACTCTCAGGGGCCTTCAGAGACAAAGGACATGCTCAGGTTGTGGACAGGCCATGGGGACCTAGGGCAGCACCCAGCTACCTCTGGGTGGTCTCGGTGTCAGGAGAACAGTGAACTGGGCAGAGGAGGGTCCAGGGTTTCCTGAGTGTCCCTGAGGCCAGTCTGGGACTGGAGGCTGGGCCTTGCTGAGCCTCAGTTTCCTCATCTGTGAAATGGGACCACATGGCTGCCTGGGTGGTGGGCATGGGAGGAGGGCTCCCGCAGCATAGGTGCTGTGAACAGCAGCCCAGGCCCGAGTTCCTCAGCGCCCGGTCCTCGAGAGCTGGGCGGGCAGCTCCTTGAAGGAGGGGGGAGGGAACCATCCGAGGTGGGGCTCCACCCCCAGGCTGCACCATTGCTGCTCACTCATGTCACAGCCTGCGGTGAGCAGCTGCCGGGGTGGGGCCACCCCCAGCCACACGAGGGGCCACACCCCAGCCACACCAGGGTGGCCCCAGCCACATGGGAGGGGCAGCCCCCACCCCACTCCCTGTGATGCCCATTTGCTCCCGCCTGGCCCCTCAGTGCACAGGTTCCACGTGACGGTGGCGCCAGGCACCAAGCTGGAGAGCGGCCCGGCCACCCTGCACCTCTGCAATGACGTCCTCGTCTTGGCCAGGGACGTCCCTCCGGCTGTCACGGGGCAGTGGAAGCTGTCTGACCTCCGGCGCTACGGGGCGGTGCCAAACGGATTCATCTTCGAAGGCGGGACCAGGTGTGGGTACTGTAAGTACGCGGGTGCTGGGGACCTGAGACGGGGCAGCTCCAGGCTCTCGGCATCCCCCAGGCACCGTGGGCTCTGGGCCGACCGACCCCACGTGGCTGCCCACGTGGCCACATCGCTGGGATCCCACCGGAGGGCGGGCGGGTTGTGTCCCTCCGCGCCTGCCGTCAGGAAAACCCAGAGCTTAGCAGAGTCTGGCCCCAGGGCTGCCTCTGGGCTTCCCTGACCCAGGATGCGAAGGGGGGTCCTCCTGGCATTGTCACAGCTCATGGCTGTGTGGCTGAGGTCACAGAGCATGAGAGCCACTGCCGTCGAGATGTAATGCAAAGAATAAATGCAGTTAGCAAGGACATACAGGCACCCCACAGAGAGAAACGAGTTTGTGGACCAAGGATTCCTCGTGGACACGCCAGCCCTCAAGCCGCCCCAATGTCACCCTTGAGGTGGCTGAGCAGGGGGAGGGAGTGGGCTGGGGCCCTCACACGTGTGAAGGCCCTGTGACCCGTCCTGGCCCAGTGTAGAAACGAGAGTGAGTGTCCAGGAGTGTGGCCAGCGACCAACTGCCACACGGGGCGGGTGGGGAAAACACCCTGGTCCTTCATAGAGAGCCGGGGGTGCTCCTTGGACCACTGTTCCCGAGGGGGTACATACACACGGCTGCTGTGTGCACCTGTACTCCCCCTCCAGACGGGCAGGGGCCTGTCTGCACTGGCTGCCCAGGGCTCGTGGTGGGCTGAGTGGCTTCCTGGGGGGTCACATGGGGCCGTGATGACCATGGCAGTGTGTGCCCCTCACCCTGGGCCCCGCCCCTCCCACCCAGCACACTGTGGGCTCTGGGGGCTCCTGCTGTCTGGCTGGGCAGATGCAGGCGGGGCGTGAGGCGTGCCGGACGCTGGCCACCCGGGCCCTCATCCCCCAAAGGCCCGGTGCCGGGAGCACAGGCCGTCTGGGCGCTGTGTCCCACCCTCCATGCCAGGCACTGGGAGCAAACTGGTGGGGCTTGTGGCAGGAGCTGCCCTGCTGCCCATTGCAGAGATGGTTGGTGAGGGGAGAGCAAGGAGGTGCCGGCCATGCTCCCCCTGGGGCCTCGGAACACGTGAAGCAGGTGCAGTGGGGTTCGAGGGGCAGGGGCTGGTTTGAGGTCGCAGGCCCTGGAGCTGGCGGGTGGCCGTAGAGTGTGAAGGGGCCTGGCGTCCTCCAAGGTTTTCGAGTGTGTGTGTGTGTGTGTGTGTGTGTGTGTGTGTGTGTGTGTTCAGCACAGCTGCTGCCCGAGCCCGCTGGGGACACCTGTCGGGGCCCCTGGTCCTGTCTTCTGGAGGGGCCCCGGACCTCTCTTCCTTGGCAGGCCAGAGGTGCCGCACTTGGGCGTCTGGAGCTGCAGGGCAGTTGGGTGCCTCAGGTTCCTCTCCTGCGTCCCCTGGGGGTGGGAGCTGCAGGGCAGTTGGGTGCCTCAGGTTCCTCTCCTGCGTCCCCTGGGGGTGGGAGCTGCAGGGCAGTTGGGTGCCTCAGGTTCCTCTCCTGTGTCCCCTGGGGGTGGGAGCTGCAGGGCAGTTGGGTGCCTCAGGTTCCCTCTCCTGCGTCCCCTGGGGGTGGGAGCTGCAGGGCAGTTGGGTGCCTCAGGTTCCCTCTCCTGTGTCCCCTGGGGGTGGGAGCTGCAGGGCAGTTGGGTGCCTCAGGTTCCCTCTCCTGCGTCCCCTGGGGGCGGGAGCTGCAGGGCAGTTGGGTGCCTCAGGTTCCCTCTCCTGCGTCCCCTGGGGGCGGGAGCTGCAGGGCAGTTGGGTGCCTCAGGTTCCCTCTCCTGCGTCCCCTGGGAGCAGGAGCTGCAGGGCAGTTGGGTGCCTCAGGTTCCTCTCCTGTGTCCCCTGGGGGTGGGAGCTGCAGGGCAGTTGGGTGCCTCAGGTTCCTCTCCTGCGTCCCCTGGGGGCGGGAGCTGCAGGGCAGTTGGGTGCCTCAGGTTCCTCTCCTGCGTCCCCTGGGGGTGGGAGCTGCAGGGCAGTTGGGTGCCTCAGGTTCCCTCTCCTGCGTCCCCTGGGGGCGGGAGCTGCAGGGCAGTTGGGTGCCTCAGGTTCCCTCTCCTGCGTCCCCTGGGAGCAGGAGCTGCAGGGCAGTTGGGTGCCTCAGGTTCCTCTCCTGTGTCCCCTGGGGGTGGGAGCTGCAGGGCAGTTGGGTGCCTCAGGTTCCTCTCCTGCGTCCCCTGGGGGCGGGAGCTGCAGCCGCTCCCTCTGTGGCGCCCTGGATTTGTGGCTCCTGGAGGTGCTCCGAGCCGGGAGGAGGGCGGCCACATCCCCTTTTCCCTCTGTGCAGTGCTGGGCACAGGCAGGCAGCGGCCAGGTGGCACTGGTGCAGGTGGCCCCTTGTCCTCAGAGACCTGGTTATCTTGTCCCAGGCACAGTGGCATGGGGCCCACTGTGTTTTTGCTCTGAGCCCTCAGAGTTTAAAACCCTGTGTCTTGGTGGGCTGGGCTCCTTGTCCCCTCGTGACGGTTCTGGGAGTTGGAGCTGCGATTCCCCGGAAAGGCAGAGGCAGCTGTCGTGTTTTCCCCAGGTTGCCAGAAAACCAGGGTGCGCCGCGCCATCACAGGGCTGTCCTGGTGCTGCTCTGAGCAAGGTCCTGATGGCTCCATCCCGCAAACCCAGGGCCAGCCGGGCAGAATCTGCCTCCAAATACAGGGCTTGGTGCTGAATGTTCTCGGCCCACTGTGGGCGCCTGGCCGGAGCGCAGATGCTCTCGGGAATTCTCAGTCCTCCCTCCAACTCCCCGCCCCGCTCAGACCCATGGCAGCTGGAAAACCGGGTGTGGGTGGGCAGGAGGGGTGGGTGGGGCCGGCCTCTGCCTCTGACCCTGCATGAGACTGCACCAGCGGGTTTTGAGACTGTCACGGGAAACTGCCGCAGCCAAGCGGTGACGTCCTTGATGAGACTGGGTGGCCGGGGGGACGGGGCGTCTGCTGCACCTGTGGTCAGACCTGGGCTCTGGGCGAGAGCACAGTTCAGTGTGGTCCGGAAGTGCTGGGCTTTGGCGCCCTGGGGCTGCCGTGGCTGACGCCTCCCCGAGGCCCTAGGGGAGGGTCCTTCCTGCCCCCTAGCCGCTGGTGGCCCTGGTGCTCCTTGGAGTGTGGTTATGTCTCTGCTCCCTTTCCACCTCTTCCATCTCTCACAAGGACACCAGTCGCTGGATTTAGGGTCTCTCTGGGTGATCTTGTCTCTTAATCCTTAACTAATTCTGACCGCAAGACCCTTGCCACAGGTTCTGGGACCCACAGCAGGGATGACTCGGGGTAGATCTCGTCACGTTCAGCCTGGAGGGCAGAGCTGGGCTGGGGTCCTTGGCCCTGGAATGTCTTGGGTGTATGGAGTTCACGTTCTCTCCCTTCCTGGGGACAGGTCCCAGCCTGGCACCCCTGGACCCCAGACCCATTCCCCCTTGGCCCAGCCACAGCTGGCTTTGCAGAGAGCAGAGACAGTAACCAAGGTTGCTCTTCACTCACCCTGGGACGCTAGGCATGGCTGGGTGTGGAGTGCCCTGGTGGGGGGAGTGGAGGTGGGGTGGGGTACCCTGAGGTTTGGGGTGGGATAAGTTGGGGTGCCTTGGGGGGCTGGGGTGGGAGTGGGGGTTTGGGTGCCTTGGGGAGGCTGGGATCAGTTGGGGTGCCCTGAGGGGTGGGGTGGGGGAGTGGGGTTGGGGGGGCTGGGGTCTGTTGGGGTGCCCTGGGCAGGTGGAGGTGGGTTGGGCTGCTCTGGGGATTGGGGTGCCCTGGGGGGTTGGGGTCCAGGCAGGTGTGGCCAGGGTTGTTTTGCTGAGACCACTGGGGACCTGGCCGGGTGCAGCTGGTCTTGGTGCCGTGTGGTCGGTGTTTTCTCTCTGCGGACTCAGGGAAGCTGCCTGTTCAGAGTCGGTCAGGAGCTGGGCTTGGCAGGGAACCCAAGGCCGCCAGTGTGGACCACCAGAGCCTCAGCTGGGAATGTACTTGAACTGTGACGTGTGACAGTCTTGGGGGAGAGGGAAGCTGAGGGGCCATGGGCCTGAGAGGCTCAGCGTGGCAGAGGGTGGGCCCCAGGGGAGGCCTTTGGGTGGGTGGGGGAGTTTGAACTGGGCCTTAGGGCCAATAGAATAGAAGTTTCCGGAGGTGAGAGGTGCTAGAGGATGTGTCGGCGGCTCCATGTCCTGTCTTCTCTCTCCAGCTGGGTTGAGTCTCGGGACCGTGTCTCTCACTTTCTCCAGCCCCTGGGGCCACAGGGAGCATTTTTAAATGATTTTGATTATTTTAAAAAGTGTCTCAGTGGAAACCCCAGACTGGAGACTCGGTGTGTGTGAACACTTGCGTCTGTCCGGCTCTGAAGAGCCCCCTGCTGGCCTCCTTTGGACTCCAGAGACTTGCTGGTGGCTGGACAGAGCTGGCTAGAGCCCTGGCCGCTGACCCCAGGCTGCCGAGGCAGGAGGGATGCGTTTGGTGGCTCCCGGCCGGGCACTGGGTGCAGGGGTCAGAGCCGGGGAGCTCATGGCTGGGTCCGGCTGGGAGGCCTCAGAGCCTGGGTGAGGCGGAGCAAAGCTCAGTCCTCAGAGCGGGAAGGGGGCCCGGGGAGGGCTGCAGACCCCAGCCTGGGGGCGCTGAGGAAGCTGTCTGGAGTGAGACGCTCCTGTAGGTGGATAGGAATTCGCCCAGCTGTCAAAGGCACAGGGGTGGGAGGAGGAGAAAAGGGTGCTCCAGACCTGTGCCGAGCCTGGATGGGTGACCCGAGAGGGCTGTGCAGGAACCCGTTGGGTGGGGAGGCAGGGGCTGAGCTGGAGAACACAAGCTGTGCCGGGTTGCAAAGAACCTGGGAAACTGGACCAGCGTTTGCACCGTATTCCCAGAGTAGCATGGAGCCGCTGAAATGCTTGAGCAGGGGGAGTGTTTAGGGTGGTAATTTTGGCCGCAGGATATAGACTGGATCGGAGGAAGAGGCTGAGGCAGGGCCAGCGAAGTTTCTGTTTGTGTCTAGAAGAGAGAGTGCAGCTGACT